AAAATATTTTCTGGAAAGTTATTCTTGAGCAAAGGCGGCTACCACCATGTGCTGAAATGTTCCTGTTGGAAACCTGCCTTCAAACTTTGCTAAGTTATTTCAAACACTGTAGCACCACATTCTTTTAACATCGATAATTAGGTTCTTATATATGGCTTACTAGATTGAAAATTCTAATTTTAGTTGATAATTTCCTGCTTGTCTGGCTATGAGGAGGGGGGGGGGTGGCCTAAGTAACCCTGGTGTCCACTTCCACTGGCCAAACTGGGGTTACTTAGACCCCTAGGACTACTGCTTCTTACATGTCACCATACTTTATTTTGGTCAAAGGTGGGCTTTTCTTTTCTTTTTTTATGTTCTGGTACTGATTGGTAATTTACTTTTTCCACATCATAAAATAATTTTTTAATGATTATATCTCAGCATGGAGTTTTAACCCACCCCCAAATCTGAAGAAATGGCGTCTGATGTATTGTTTTCCATGGGACGATACTGTGTACCTTTTAACTTTTAAGTGAAACTCACAGTTGAAAGATAATGTATATAGCAAAGATTTAAGAACAGATTTATAACCCTTGTACCAGTAACAAACCAACATATAAATCTTCGAACATCTGCATTGTTACAAAATGCCCAGAACGTACAAGCGAAAACCTGGGGGCTGAGTGTACACGGTCATCCCTGTTGAGACTCTGATGCAAGCGTACGATGTTCACACTCGCAATTGATGTTGAAAATAAAATTTTCTTAAATTTTTACATTATCGTGTGCTTATATACTCTTTTCCAAAAGAAACTTGACACATTTTCTATGAACATAATACTATCAAATCAAAACGGATGATGTTGATATTTATGTACAGTGCAGTGTGTTGGTTTTACTATCTTCTGAATCAATTTTGACAGCATAACTAAGTGATTTTGCTCAAGTCTGTGTGTTTAGTATAATTTCATTTGTTAACTTTTTATTCTATTAAGCATGAGTTTTCTGTGCTGCCTTTGATATCAATGTGTAGTTTATTTCAAAACCTACAAAAGGTGTGTAATAAATTTATGAAAACATCGTTTGCATTTGAACTGCGAGCTTCAGAAATCTAGAAAAATGTAAACTTTCAATCATGCCGCGTCTCAGTGCAGACGAGCGCTGGCGCGCTGTCGGGCATCTCGAAGCAGGCGTTCCCGTGGCGGATGTGGCAAAGATTTTTAACTGTAGCATGGGAACCATCTACACTCTGCAGACCAGGTACATGAACACAGGAAGTACCAGAGACCGGCCAAGATCAGGGAGGCCGCAGGTAACCACCCCGGCACAGGATCGGTATATCCGCTCCACCCTCCTGAGGGACAGGTTCCAGTATGTTTCGCATACAGCCAGAACCCTCCCTCAACACCAACCAGTGAGCACACAGACGGATATTCGTCTCAGGTCCTTTTCACAAATGAGTCTAGATTTGTCCTAGGTCGCTACGATGGTCGAGTGCGGGTATATCGCCGTCGAAATGAAAGGTTTGCTGACCAGTGTGTACATGAAATCCCTGACCGGGGATATGGGCAGGTGATGGTCTTGGGCGAATCACAACAGACCACAGGACGGCGCTGGTACATGCTCCGACAGCATAGAAGGGCGCCAACTACGTAGCCATCATTTAGTAGCCACACGTGGCACTGTTTGTGCAGAACCATCGACGCTACACCTTACAACAGGACAAAGCTGGAGCCCATCGTGCCAGGGTGACACAAGTTTACCTCGCACAACAAACAATTCGGTTTCATCCATCCCTGGCCAGCAGTATCACCCGACACGAAACCGATTGAAAATGTGTGGGGTATTTTCGGGCCTAAAATCCCAGAGATGAATCCCGCTCCTCCGAACAACGCTCAGTTGATTCAAAGCTTAACCAACGCTTGGAACGCTATCCCACAACATCAAATTTCCAAAATCGTCAACTCTATGAGGCGCAGATGCCGCGCCGTCATTGCTGCAGACGGCGGTCACAGACGATATTAATCCTGCCGAACTTTCAGACATTACCTGAAATGCTTTTGTTTTGACCATTGCCAGTGTGCTTTGCAATCATACGTTTCGAAAACCATAATTTAGGATTACTTTGCCAATGTAAAGTTTCTTGGTGGACAAATGCACATTTTCTGATTTAAAAAAAAATAAAATTGGACCCTATCATTTCAAGTGGGGTTTGAAACACCAGGTGTGTATTATATGCATTAAAATACAGGTTTCCAAATCCAAATATGCTTCTTCTTTTTAAACGTTAACTTTTGTCCCTGTGTCTGCAATGGTTTATCTTTTATTTGACACTATTCTTTATGTCAAGTTTTTTTTGGAAATGAGAATATAACCAGTAAATGTTGCCATTGTGAAACATAAAGTCTAGTAATAGTTGCCAAATAAGAAAGACAGCAGATGTTTACATATTCAGTGTTCTAAGTAACCCCAGTGTTGGGGTTTACTTTAGCTTTTCTACAAGTTTGGTATACCGGCCTAGTGACCCCATGCCGGGGTAACTTAGGCCACCCCCTTAAATGACCCATATTTCATAATATTTGGCACCTAGTGTAAAAATACACCCACAGAATTGATGCAAACATCCTTCCCCTTAAAATATATATATATTTTTTAAATTAAACACACACACACACACACACACACACACACACACACACACACACACACACAAGATAACACATCTAGATGTTATTTAAGCTTTCTCCCAAAGTGACCTAAGTAACCCCGGTTTACGGCTGATTCTGCGTCTCTCTGCTCCTGCCGCAGACCGTGAGTACCAAGAGGGTGCAGCAATCCTTCTTCGTCCTTTGTTCTTTGACGGAGAATCGAGGTCAGTGACGGGGTTCTCGTGGCCTAGAGGTTATGGTGTTATCCTCTCATTCAAAGGTCATCATCATCATTGCCTTTGTTACCCTGCACCACGGTATAGGCCAAGGACAAACACTTTCCACCTTTCTCTATCCTGGGCTAGCCTCTTGATGTTATTCCATGTCTTCCCACTTTTCTGTACATCGATTTCTGTGATTCTTCTCCAGGTTCCACGAGGTCTTCCCCTTGATCTCTTACCTCCAATCCAAAACTTTCTTTGTTGTGCAGCTGCTCATTCAAAGGTCTCGGGTTCGAATCCGGATAGCGATTGAAATATTTCCTTCTCTAAAATTGTCTCCTTCCACCTCCTTTCCTGCTCTCTAGCAATGTGCTGTCGCCTGCTTTTGTCTCCTCTTTCTGCCGCCACCCCCTCACCTCCATTGCCCCTTCCTCTGGGCTCCTGATCTTTCTGCATTCTTTCTCCTGCCTCCCCTTGACTCCTCCTTACTGCTGTCTTTCAGCCACACCTCTGATCTTTGGGTAGGAAATATCCACACCTAGCCTTCTCGGACAAGGGCAAAAAATCTCGGAGGTCCCGTGGGCAATTTGCGCACGTTTAAGGAAGATCCCTTGGTGGTCTAAAATCGATAAGAGTAGTCTTCGGCCGCCAACCGGGCAAAATTCAAAACTTCCTACCTACTCAAAATAGTAGCTGCGTCCCGCGGGCACATATATGACCTTATGCAGTTGCGAGCGCCGTAAAACATTTACCCAAAACATTTTTTTTTTTAAACGGTCAGTGATGGGGCGCCATGCTCTGTGTAGTCATGAATTCACACAACACACGCAGTGGTACTACTACGATACGCGCTGTGGGGTGACCAGTTGGCCCCATTTTAGTATTTTACATACATCTGTCCTCGTGGTTTTATGCACCTCGCATAATTTAGCCAAATTTGATCATTTTTGCATAATTTCTGATTATTCTCCTTTATCATTCTTTGTTAAAATTAACAGAATCGCATAATTTCACTTTTTTGGCCTCAGTTTGCTTAATTTCAGAATTTTTCTTGCATAAAAAAACAGGGAAAGATAAATTCATGAAGATGCATTTTAAAATCTAGCCTCAATTGTTGTGGCAACATATGAATAGATCTACGTTAAGATAAATTGACACAAACTGCTGTGCAAAGTTTAGGTTACATTGATTCACCCGTTAAATATGCAGCTGGTTGTTCGTTAAGAAAGCACAAACAAACACACACATGCACACTCTCTCTCTCTCTCTCTCTCTCTCTCTCTCTCTCTCTCTCACACACACACACACACACACACACACACACACACACACATACACACACACATGCACGAATACACACATAAAAGAATACAAATAGCAGTAACAATAACAATGAAAATATGTCCTCCATCAATGTCTGACGATGGCAAACACAGACAGAGCAGAAGAAAAATTTATCCTGCAAAAAAGAGGATTTGGAAGAATTAAAGGTCAAGATGAATTGTGGGCTTTGCTGTGGCATTGTGGTTTGCTTCTACATCTCTTTCTCGTTGTCATGGTCTTTCTCATTCTCCTCCCTCTCCCTTGCACTCCCCCTCCCCCCAACCACCACCACTCTGTCTTCTGCTCCTCACTCTCACCACCCTGCTCCCCCCTCCTTCTCGTCCTCACTCTCACTATCCTGCTCCCCCCCTCCTTCTCCTCCTCACTCTCACCACCCTGCTCCCCCCCTCCTTCTCCTCCTCACTCTCACCACCCTGCTCCCCCTCCTCCTCCTTCTCACTCTCACTACCCTGCTCCTCCCTCCTTCTCCTCCTCACTCTCACTATCTTGCTCCCCCCTCCTTCTCCTCCTCACTCTCACTACCCTGCTCCCCCTCCTCCTCCTCCTCACTCGCACTACCCTGCTCCACCTTCGCCTCTTCCTCCCTGTTATACATTGCAAATATTTATGTGATAACCTTATGAGCACACGTGCCACTGTACGTTCTGATTTTTAAAGTCTGGTCTGTGGCTGGTGATGTCGAGCTCACCCCAAAGAAGAAAAACAGAACGTGTTGTCATTTAACAGTACATCTGTGATCGTGACTAACCTTTAGCAGCAGACAAAACCTCTAATCACTACTGGGAGTATTTTTGAAGAATTAATAATTTCACTTTCCACATAATGTCGAATCAAATTTGGAATTATTTCAAAGGCTGACAAGTATCATTGTAGCATGGGTACTGTAGGCAGGCTTGGTAATTCCATTACTTTAAAGATTGCATTGTGTAAATAATTAAACATTCTAAGAACTTTCCATCATTTAGAATATAAGATGGACTTCAAATCCCGATATGCAACCGTCTTCATCCAACATGAAAGAGTTAATTTGATTATATGTTTATGTAACAAGCGCTAATCTGATAGAAGCTATAGTAAAGCCAGAAATATTTTGTGCTCAAGAATACATTGCCTATTTGATATCTAAGATCATTAAGCTTGTAGGACAGTAAGCAAAACTGATGCTACTTTTCTTATAAGCCAACGTGGATTCAGAAAAGCCATTTGATTGTGATATCCTCCTGTGCTGGATCGAGGGGACAAGTGAAGTTTCGTCAACCCTTCTCTGAGGTGGTTAACTGAGACCTGCGAAGAATGTGAAGGAAGTACTTTGTGATAGTGGCCATTGGCATCACATATTCCAATCTTTTTCGAACCAAGCTAGGACACTTCTTCAATAATCTTTGGAAGATGCATGTCGTTCTTTTATTTTGTATCTTGAATGTATCTGCAAGCTCAACGAACGTTCTTTCCTTCGTGCAAAAGCCTAATTATAAGCTTACTGCTCCACATGGGGACAATACGAGACAGATGATCTTGCATGAGACTGGTCGTACTGGCACACAAGGCAACGGTAGAGATTCTGTTCTGTTTTTAAAGAAATACAAGCCAGCCACAATTTGGTACAGACTACTAGGACACTTTGAACATGAACCAAAATTACAGAGAGAGGTGCACACGCTTCGACAGTCAGATCAAACTGAGTCAGCAGAAAAGAACGCAATCTATTTTCCAGAAAGACAACGACGACAAGCTAGACCTATTTCTGAAAACTCGCCCACAACAAAGGAAGACATTCCGATAAAAGACAACCAGACACTGACCACCAGAGGGTTAGATTGGCAAAGCTTGACAAACAACAATATTACTGACGTAGCAGCAAAGACTTCTTCAAGCAATTCCTCAAACATTTCCTCAAACATTTTTTCCTTAAACACTTCCTCAATCACTTATTCCTCCAACACTTCCTCAAACATTTCCTCAAAAACTTCCTCAAACATTTTCTCAAACATTTCTAGAAAAACTTCCTCCAACACTTCCTCCAACACTCCCTCCAACACTTCCTCCAACACTCCCTCAAACATTTCCTCAATCCCTTCCTCAAACACTTCCCAATCAAACATTTCCTCCGAGTCGTGCATAGATTACTGTTTGACCGTCCACAATAACGTGTCTTGCCCATGTGACCCAGTGTGTTTCTTTAGAGACTCATGTTGCCGAGACATTGACCTTCTGTGTCCGGCGGAGTGGACAACGACACTCCAACTGTTTCATCCCAGCATATTCCAAGCCCGCCTTGTCTGTGACGTCGCCATGAATGTACCGACCGTGGACTCGTGTCCTGACCACCCATCTGCTGTGCTGGATACCCTACAAACGTCATCTCAGGCCCAACTTTTGAAGTAAGAAATGTCCCCTTCCTTTGCAGAAGTGTGATTTTTTTTGTTTTAGTTTTAGTATTCGTTTTACGGCGCTCGCAACTGCATAAGGTCATGTGAGCGCCAAGGAGTGGATGTCAACAGAGAAGTCCTTACAGGGAATCAGACTTACTCTGCTGATCTCTCTAGCTTCAACAGCACAAAGTCTGCTTCAACTTCAAGGCACCCAGGAAATAACGGGTCACAAGAATGTGACAAACATACAAAAGAAGTAGAGGGAAATGAAGATAGTAAGGATTAGGAAAGAAAAAGCAGCAGTTCCCTGTTGTAGTTATGGCATAGTTATGAGCATGACATTGTTGGATCAGCCCATTCACAATTCTACTGTGTACTAGAATGGGAAATGTCCCCCCGTTGGGAATGGCCATAAGACACTTCAGTCAGTGGCACCGCCCCGGGGGGTACACACACTTTTGTTAGGCGAGTTACTTCTCGCAGTCCACAAATGGAGATATTGCCCCCCCCCAAAAAAAAAAAAAAAAAAAAATTAAAAAAAAAAAAAATAAAATAAAAAATCAACACTTGGGCCTAATTTGTAGATTTTCTGTTGCTGCCATATTCTTTAAATGTAAAACGCCTGTTGTTATTTCATACTTATGTATTTTTAAAAACGTATATGCGTGATGTATCTATTTCCATATTGCTCAAATCCAAGAAGTAAAAGAAATGTCAGCATGTTTCACATTTACGTTCTTGAGCTGTACGTGGCAATCGTTTTTTTTTTCTCAAAAGATTAATCAGGAAAATTCCCTCTAAGTGTTAAAACGACTCCTCTTGTCGATGTTGATATCATGTTCCCATTTCTATCTATTTGAGGTATTCAATTTGTTTAAAGTAAGAGAAAGATGATTTATTTAATAATGTGAGTGTTTTCAGCCAAACCCCATTTCAGTTAGAAAACAGTGCGATTGGTGTGAACTCACCCATCAAACAGGTGACCTTTACCACAACAGACAAAAGTACATAATAGGAAGTGACATTCTTCCAAATGGGTTGCCATTGGTAGCAAGAAGGTCTTTCTTTGATGAATCTCGGGGTTTTTTCAACGAACGTTTGCCTGTATTGTGAGATTATATCGTAAATTTGTTCAGATGGGCATAAGTGCCAAAATGAGCTGGCTCGATGATTTTTGCATTCCTTTTTGCATACAAAATCAGGAGACACAAAATCTGAAAACCCTATATGGTCGGTTTTAAGCTCAAGAGGGCAATTCCGAAAAACGCTGTTTTGAGAAAATCGAAGGTAACGTTTTTGCACCTTGTTCAATTTCTTAAAATGATCAGGAGAGTTTTCTCTATAACCAAACAAACATACACACCAATGAAACCAAACTTCTCCTATAGGTAGGGTAATGCCCACTTTTGGTGTAGGTCAAGATTTCTGGAGACCCCCGAAATCTTGGTTAGCCCGCTTGTCTTTAAAAAGCGACCATATAAATAAGAATACATGTAGTTATGATTATGGTCTTCTTTGTTTAAAACTGCGATTGAAAAACTGTTCTTTTAGTGTCGAAGTTGTTTTATTGATTGCATAATTTGATAAAGGTTATGCACGTAAAGAAGGATGTTTCTGTTACTTTTAACTTATGCTGAGTACAAAGTCCTTGTATTAAAAATAAAACACTTTCATACTATAATATATTGCGCATGTTCATACAACTTCAAAGTTCTCGTAGTTGATGTTGAATAACACATTTGGACAGCAGCAATAACAGAGTGCAGCACAATCATGGCTTACATCTTGGTGATACATGTATTAGGCTCTCGTCAAAATAATACATGTACAACCGAAGAAATACGATGTTTCCGTCCATTTGGCAATGTTTATCAATTCTTTCCATGATCAACACCTACAATGTCTATTAAAGAAATAAACTTGTAAGATTCAACTGAAAACGTTTTGACACAAAAATAACATTTTCAGTTTCCATCAACACTCAAGCTTTTGATGTCCCAAACTTTGGCGCCCATTTTCTCGTTAATTTTGCCTTTCATATTGGACGAGGCACTTTTCCTTTAATCGTAGATACGTACCTCAACATATATTCATGATAGATGGGTTGTTGTGTTTTTACCAGAGGCAATAGGAATGAATAAAATTTTAAGATTGCACCAACACCAAAAAAGTTTTGCTCTTTTTCGAGCCCATTGACCGAATTTCTATATGTGTTAAAGAATATTACGGTATGTTGTCTCCTTTGGTATTATTTACTCTTAAGTTTACTCGAAAATAAGACGAAATTAATTGGTGCACAGATGCTGAGTTATTGGCATTCATATGGTTTCACTCTTGTAGACACTCGATATAAAAGGAAAACCAAATAATTTCTATTTACCCGTATCTTTTCTATTGTAATGGCGATGTTGATGATTTTTTTTGTTTCCTTAATGGGCCTGGTGGACTCCACGAAGAAATCTTCGAGCGAGAGCGAGGCTCCTTTTCGGCTCCCTTGACAATATTTACTTAAAGGCACCTCCACTCGTCCAAATAAC